GACTTATACAGAGGCTGGCATATTCTAATAAGGTTTCTATCGAGCCTCTCGGTCTCTCTACAACGATGCATGTATAGCATCGGTCAAGACTTTATTGAGCATCGTTAAGCTCTTGGATTTGGAGGTAAATTTGTTAGGTGATTGACCGAAAGAAACTATGAATCAAAATGGACCAAGATTGCGACTGGATATCTAAAATTCAATTATAGAATGTATAAACATATATGTACACATCAATATCTTATAAAAGCTTACATTTAGGTAATTCATCATGTGTATATGAGAGAAAGTTCAATACAATTTCTCAATAATGTTTTCTTACCTCTTAGCGTGATGCAACAATATCTCTTTTAGTTTTGAATACTTTTTTCACTAACTTTAGTAATTTTCAACTATATATCTGCAATCTGCTCTAGCTAATGTTCAGAGCTTGACCACATGCAAGAGACCAGAGAATTAAAGCACAAAAATCTCTTCTTCTTCTTTCTTTGTTATATATAATTTTATCTCGAAAAAATAATTAAGTATCTGTGCTTTCTTCATGTCGCAACATGTTAAGCTAGTCTGGGTCCATTACCATTATTCTAGTGTTTATGGCAATATAACTGAAACCTCAAATTTGATTCTTCAACTCATGACATATAACCAAAGTTGGTTCTAGGAATATAGTAGATAACATTTAATGCTTTTCAAATTATTATTATTTAATGTCGACCCAACTCTATATATCTTCTAAAAGTTACTTAAGATTGAACTTATTTTCAAACGGTAATTGTAAAAAAGAAAATCATAACTAAAATTTGATGTCCCTTTATTATGTAATAGTCAATATTTTCGAATGTTATGTTATGCATTTGCTAATGTCACTACAAGTATACGATACAGATAAAGTTTACGTATCAGTTTTAACTTTAGTTTAACGACAAAGGCATAACAATGTACGTGGGTGTGGGCTATAATGTAGAAGAAGAGTTTAGTAAAGCTTATCCTTAAACCTAATCTATCTCTCTCTCTCTCTCTC